ATTCTGGATTGTACGGTTTGAAAATATGTTATTGTAGATTGTACGGCTCAAATTTCGGTGAAATAGATTATCCTATGAACCACTTGAGTGAAATAGATAAAAGCAACGAGAAGTTGAGATCTGGAGCTTGTTTGAGAGAATCAAAAGTCTAAATTTAGTTTTTTTTAAAAATAAAATTACATAAAAAACATTGAAAAAATAGGACATCGAATATACTAAACCCTATATGAAGTACAATTATAATGCTTAAGAAAAATTAATCCTTATTTTATCTAAAGGAGTGACGGACCCGAACATTACACTTGGCCTTTCTTTTTTTTCTTGCGATTGTGCTGTGGTAGAACTCAAACTTCACTGTAGAAAGACTCTTGTTCCATTGCAAATTCCATGTTGAATTCTTCATCATCTGAACCATTGAAAACATGATTTTGTTCTCCTTCGGAATTTATTTCTTCAATCGAATAACTTGGGTTAAAAGACATTGTATGCTTCCCTACCTCCGTATCATCTTTGGAGAAGTATTGGTTATGGTTTCTATCGGTGATTGGGCCTGAAATTATGTGCAAGACTTGAAGCAGAGGGATTTGTGGACGAGGAGGATGAGAAAATTCCGGAGCGGCAGGATTTAATTTTTTTGGAGGAGCTATTATTAGAGCTATTTTTAGGAAAAATTCCTTCATTATCTGAAGGAGAAGATTGTGGAGAGTTTGACTTCAAATCATCTTCCTTTGAAACTGAATCAACTGGATCAGATTGGTAGAGAGATTTGTGGGGCATTGATTGCGCAACAGACACGGCAGGCGCGGGGCTCAAACTGGAATGCTGCGCTGTCGGAGTTTCCTATCCTTCAGTTGACACCGATGGCTGCCGCCGGCTATCCACATTCCATGAAGCTAATTTATCCCCCTCCAGCATTGGGGCTCCTATGGCAATTGAGGTGACTCTCTAATCAGTAACAACTGCGTCAATGACTTGAAGCAGCGGCGATGTAATTGGAATAACATTGACATCAACTTGCCGCTGAGGTGTTTCTTCAACCGCCACTCTTTCAGAGATCAAGGGAAGTGGTTAACTGTATATAATGTCTACGGGAATGCCAATTTTCTCCGTCGTTGTCAATCCCGAGGTCTATCCTTCTCGAGCTGGATGCGGGATTAACGTTTCCAGCATGGTAGATTTTCCGCAGGGGGGGTGCGACTAGGGTTTCCGCAATGGCCTCAACAGCATCAGCTTCCAACCGTGGAAACATTTCAGACGCGTCCACAACTGGTGACATTTCAGACACGTCCACAACTGGTGGCAGATCTCCGTCAGCAGCAATGATCAACGTATTCTTCACAACATCAAAAGAGGGTGGATTCGGCGGTGATTTATCTAGGGCCAGCACCTTGTCTTGCTTTCCTTTTGGTTGTTGATTTGATTCTTGCTTTGCAGGGCGTGGATCTATCTTTTTTATTGATGATGCTTTTGTATTATGTCGACAGGAGTCTTAATCTTGGCCAATCTTTTTGCAATCAATACAATATTGAGGCATGCTATCATAAAGAATTGATTGAAAGTAAGTCGCCCATTCAACTCCAAGTCTGATTCGAATAGGATGGTCCTTGAGAAAATCCATCTCTGCGTAGACTCGTGCCACAGATGGTCATGACATGTTGAGTGTTGGGACGTCAATTTGAAGAGGTGTGCCGATGATACTAGCTAGTTTGCACAAGTAGTGCTTGTTAAAGCGATGAATGGCAAGACCTTCTAGGGAGATCGAACCTGGAACAATGGAGCTCTCATGTGCTGGGTTGAAATTTTTGGTTCCTTTTAGGACTCGCATCCGATGCGTGTCAAAGATCCATAGACCTTTTAACCAGCAGCGGTGAAAATCTTCCTCTTGGTCAAAGCAGTTGAGGAAATCGATCGATCCAAGGGAGAAGCTTCCTTTGAAACCAATAATTTCGAATTCTCGTTGCAAGTATTCCATTTTTGGCCTGCCTTTTGTGAATTTCCCTACTAGAGCAAGGCGAAAGGGAGCAGCGGGCAGCCAATCGATCATCATCTTCTTTTGTATGAAGAAAAGTTGGCTCACCTTTGAAAATTGTTGGTTCTGATCGTATGTCGGGTTGATTTAGAATTTCGGAAGATAAATCTTCCATGGGAAGTTGGGAACTCACCTAGTTGAACTGAAACTTTAGCATCAAGTGTTTGTTAAGTATTTTAATATTTTATAAAGTACTCTCGTCGTCTCAAAAAATATTTTGTATCGAGTTTTGAGATTTGTATCATTTTCAGTATAAATTTTAAAATTCAATGGTGACTAATTATTTTATGAGAAAAATAGTAGTAAATTGCTTCAATCTAGTAACTTATGAAACACCATAGTACTCATTAATTATGTATTGTCTCTGTTTTAAGAAAATAATCCATATTGAACTTTGAGATTTGAATTAAAAATAGTTCAAATTCCAAAACTCAATTTGCACTATTTTGCTGGGCTAGAGTCATAGAGGGTAAATTAAACTATGATTCAATGTAAAACTTTAACTTTACTTCCTTTTTTTACTTTTTCAGATAAGAGAAATATATATAAAAATGCTTTGGTCTAAATACTTTGACACTTCAAATGTTTGGAATCTAGATTCCAAAACCTAGATTTTGATCTTCCTAACGTTGTCGATTTCAGGAAGCGAAACGTGCCACGTTATTCAATAAAAAGTCAAAAACAAAAATAAGTAGTAGATGTCTAAGTCAACTTGACATTAGCTTTTCTGTGGAACGCCTAAATTTTGATCTTCCTAACGTTGTCGATTTCAGGAAGCAAAAAAGTGCCACGATATTCAATGGAACATAAAAAACAAGAATAAGTAATAGATATCTAAGGAGGTGCCTGGTTCAACCAAGGAATCATAGGTTGGAATGGCTTTCATAAAATAAAGAATTACTATGGGTGTCAAAACTTCCAATTACCTTGCTTGGTTCATAAATGAATTTGACTATAAATTACGCAAAAAGTCATTTTTAACCTCATCCTTGTCTTAGCATCCTCCTATCTCTCCGCCGTTCAACTCCTATCTCATCCCAATTCCTTGTGTTCGCCACCCAACAAAAACCCACCAGTGACATCACACCACCGACCTCCTTCTACATCAAACAAACCCATCAGCCATCATTCTTATGTAACAAATAACTCACAACAATTTCCACCAAATTTACTGCCCAAAAAATTCCAAAATCATAAATTCATCTCCTTTTTTGGAAACTCTCCTAAAGTTTTGCTGAATCAGAAGATTTGATCATCATCACAAAACTTCCCTTTTGCCTCCATGAATAAAGAAGGATTGGCCAACGGTGGCAGAGCGTAGCGGCAGGCGGCGGGCGGCGGCGGCGGCAAATTTGTTCTTGGCAATTTAGGATTTTATTTGTTATGATTCTTTTTCTTTAAAAAATGAGGTTTGATGGTGGTAATTTATGGTGAGGCTATCGATTTGGTGTGAACATTTGGGATTGAGGAAGGAAATGAAGGAGAAGAAGAGATGGGGAAGAAAGGTGAATTCGCGAAGTAGGAAAAAATGGTAAATGTGTTAATTAGTAGAGGGGCAAAGGAAGGAATTTTCTTTTCTTTTGACTTAAGGTTATTAAACCCTCCAATAATATGTGGAATGGGTTATTGGGTTTGGAATCCAAAAAAACTACTGTGCTGGAATCATAACTCAGCAACCAAGCAGCTTTATTTGGAATCAAACCCGCACCATGGGATTCACACCCCCAAACCAGGCGCCCACTAAGTCAACTTGACATTAGTGTTTTGTGAAACATGGGTTGTTTAAATGAAGTTGGAAGTGTTCATAAACTAATTCATGTTGACTAAACTAGTTCCTCAAACTTCAATGAAGTTCCTCTTCTTCTTTTTTTCCCCCAATGAAGTTCCTTATTAGTACGATCGAACAGATTAGCTTACGAACCATTTGACGGAAAAAGACAAAAGAAGAAGCTTGAGATCTGGAGCTTGACTGAGGAACTAAACTCTTTTTTTTTTCCGCCTACTTTCTCGAAAAGTTAAAATCTATATTTTGTTTCAACAAGTTTTTTCATGGAAACTGGCCTAGTTGATCTGAAATTTTCCAGGTAGTATATGGTCTACTGCCCAGTAAAAAATACATATAGCTTCACCAGATGACAATATTATGCGGTTTTAAATTCTAATTAATGAGAGGAGGTGTTAAACGTACTCTTTAATGATAGATGTGACAATATTATGGTCTAATCGGCAAAGAAATGGATATATACTGGTATATACATGATGAATTTCACCATTCATTAGTTTTGACAAAATGATCAGATCATAAAGTTATGTCAAACCCCAGGCAAGGCACACTATGATTCGATTGCTATTTCTTTAATTAGGAACAATTTTTATGTTTTATGATAGTATGAGATAGTAGTGTCACTATATTTCTCATTTCATGCATTTTAGAGCTTAAGTAAATAAAGTACGGAGGGAAAGTCCCATGATATCAATCATGGCCTTTTTCCAATGGATCGGAATAGGATAAAAATTGCATTGCATATAGTATTCTATATTGAGTTTTACATTTTGTACTATTTTTAGAGCAAAACTCAAAACTTATTACAAATTATGTTTTTAGGATGGAGTAATACATAGTATAATTAGTACTTTGTACGTACGCGTGTGCTGTGAAGTTAATTAGGCCATGATATCAATTATTCCGTACAAGGGTTTTTATTTTAAATAATTCATCGAAGCAAGTAACCTAGAAATTAAGATAGTTGTAGACAGCATTTAGTAAAACCTTAAAGAGGGACGGTGATATGTTGAAGATAAAGCCCCACCAAAGCCTCAGGTAAGGCGGGTTTTAAGGTTCATCCTCGTGCCCAAAAGATCATTTTACTAAATAATCCTCCAGGGCTCCAATAGGTCCCTCATCGCATGGCCTCTATATAAAGGCTGCATTTCTTCCGAGTTCAACCCACTCACACACCATCAATATATATTCTTGCAAATCACCCAATATTTCACTAGCATTAATACTACTTTTTTTCACTTCTTCAAGCAGTCCATTTTCATCATGGCTTCCTCTTCCGCAGCGACTAAGTTCTTTTGTTTGTTCGTTATCATGGGCCTTTTGGCAACCCCAAGTTATGCCGGTGTCGAGTACTTGGTGTGTGGCACTCTTGGGTGGGTCCCAATCGTTGGCCCCCTCCTCAGCCCTATCCTTTGCCAAATCTCCCAGGTCCTTAAAGTTGGAGACACCCTTCGTAAGTTTTCCATCTTTTTTTCTTAGCTCTAGCTATCTGTTAGATGAATATAAAATTACTTTATTCGATTCACACACAAAAAAAAAAAATTATTAATTACTTGTTAACTACTATATCTGTTTTAAAAAACAGTCCACAATTAAGGTTTGAGATTTGTACTAAAAGTGGTATAAATTTGAAAATTCAATTTGGATAATTTTTTTTTGAAATAGAAAGAGTAACCTATCTATAATGCAAGTATACCTATCAAGAATAGATGAATATTTGTGACTGACGAATGATTCTATTGATCTGTACTGCAGTTTTCAATGGCCCTCTCGGCACAGTGCTTCCAGTGTACGAGGTAACTGCATCTGCCTTTGCCAACTGCGACATCGGCAACCTCCTCCCTCGCGGTACTGTTGGTCTTCCGGTTTCCATTCCTTTGGTGGCTCCGGGCACCCGCTTCTTCATTGCCGACCCGATTAACTGCCTTCTCGGATTCAAGACCAACGTCACCATCGCATCTGCCTAAGAGATACATTCCCAATTAAAGCGGAGTTCGATGAATGATCCATTTCTTGATGATGAAGAACCCCGTCTAGTTAATTAATTAGCATATAGTACGTTGTTCCTTAATTTGACGGTCACGTCGTGCATGAATAAATATGGATGTTTCTATCCAAGTACTATACCCATCATGATTTGCATGCATGCATGTATCCATTCGTTTTATGTGTTTTCTTTTTCTCTTTCCCTTTTCTTCCCTTTGTTTTGGCTATTATGTACGTCGTTACATGACGCCAAGTTATGTCTTTTTGTATACTTTCATGAATGCTTTGATCAGGGCTCATGATGAACAATATTTCAATAAAACTGGGTTCTCTGGATCGCCTTTGATTCCTTGTTTTAAATGATCGATTAATTCTGTCTTCATACATATTTTATTTGAGTCCAATATAACAATTCCCGGTCAATATCTTATTTGTAGACTGTTGAATAATTCCAGCGGTTGTACGGGATATAGACCTTACTATACAGAGCAAAGCATTCATTCCGCTGCAGAAGATCATCATCTGCTATTAGTAACTTGTATTAACTCTTTTGTTTGTCACAGAAAATGCCAAGACATCTATTTTTCGAGTTGGGATTTAATTACATCAAGTGACTTGGTAAACTAACAAATTTGTAAGCAATAATCAACAAAATTTAAGTGACGTATAAGCATAGGTGTTTTACAAGCAATACTGAAATTGTAACTATCCTTTAGTTTGTATCTTTAATATAAATATAGAGTATCTTCAGTGGTGGAACCAGGAAATCGATATTCGGGGCGCGAAATTTGAAAAAAAAAAAACTCTTAATTGACGGCCAAGAAATCAATAATGGAGTACGAAAATTTATACAATATATAGCATTCTATTAAAATTTTTAAGATATCTCTACTAATTAGATAAACTGATTAGATTCTACTTTTGCGATTTTTCAACAATTCTTTCAGCAGTTTTGGAATAAGTTGTTTACTTGATTCGACTTTTTATATTAGAAAATGACAATGATAAGCCTATAGGCAATGTGTCCATGTTTGTCAGGCATATCCGTTCAAAGTTAAAAAAGAAAACAAAACAAAACTAAATAAAAAAAAAAAAAAAACATCCATTCACAGTAAACCACAAAAGGCTTCATGAACAAAAGAGAAAGAAAATTACAGATTCCAGAAGCTATACCTTAATAGATTCATGATTTCCTCATATTTGTTGTGGTGCCATCTCAAGGATTCCTTTAAAAAAATTCATGGAAGATGAATGTTTTGAGTGTAAGCTGACACTGGATTCATCAAAATGCACAAAGGTGGTCACTGATGATGAATGGAGTTGAAGCTTGAACCTTCCAGTTATTGAGTATGGGCAATTTTGAGAGTAATATTTTTTATGTAGACCAATTCTTAAAATGGGCACTTTTATTGGTCCATTTTTTATTTTTAAAAAATGTAGTCGAGGAATTCACATACTTCTTAAGTGGTAATTTTATATTGGAAAATGATATATCATGCAGCTAATTCTATACAACTAAGTAGCAAGTCACAAATTGAGTGGCCAACTCAGCCACTTCACCATGCACATCATTTGTACGTGCACCTTGGGCTACAAGAAATTGCTCCAGCAAACGCAGTTGTTGCTCTAACCAACTACTGCAATATGCAGACGGAATCCTAGATTCATCCAGAAACATCATGAACCTCCTTGACATATTCGGGAGTCCTCATCTTCGACAGGCATCAGTGGCGGAGCCAAAAATTATAAAGTGTAGGGGCAAAATAAGAAATTTTTCATTTAGGAGGGGCATAATTTTGATTTTTTAAAATATTCACTACAACAAACTTTTGCATCCTTAGAAGGTACATAATAGAACACTTAATCAATAGGACACATATAAAGATTGTCCTCTATTCTCTAGTCGCAATAACTCCATAAAACACTAAAAAGTGTCCTATTAAACTATCTCCAATGAGACACTTCATATATGTCCTGTTAAGTTATGGGACACTTATGAAGATAGGACACTTTAATGTGACCTAATTAGTGTATTACTATTAGAACACTTAAAAGTGTCCCAACAAACGATGATTTTAAAATAATAATAATAATAATAATTAAAAGCCTGCCACATGCAGTAAAAGTAAAAGTAACAAATTATATTGCCACAAATACTGAAAAATTTTATGGAAAATGTATTTTACGATCACATTAAGAAATTACAACACATGGATTTGTTTTTGTCAAATACCGGCCTACCTAAATATCAATACCTAATAACTAAAAAGTACCCAACCACAAAATGGAAGTTCTTAGTAAATCCTTCCAACTTTGTTCTCATCTTCCTCGACTGGGGAATGAAGCAATTCATCAAAGGAACGTCTTCTGAACGTGTTTGAACGAGCAAGTAGCATAACAAAAGCTGAAAGGAAGTAAGACGCATTACAGAAGCAATCAGGTAAAGGTGTGTCCAGATGTTACCTCAATCTCATAAAATCAGCTACATAAAGTTCATATACTCTAAAAGCTTAGTAAAAACGACAAAAGCACAATAATCAAGTGCATGCAATTAGGGCTGGTCATTTTGAACCACGGTTCGGGTCGACCCGATAACCCGAACCGACTCGAACCGAAACCGAACCGAAATTAGAATTTTAGTTCGGTTTGGTTCAGATCGAAAATTTTAAAAATTGGAACGGTTCGGATCGGTTCGGGTCAAAAGAATATCCAACTTGAACCGAAAAAATTCAAAATAAAAAATTTAATAATTATATTTTAATAATGACGCTGACCGCCGCTACCACCTTTGACCACCGCCGCCGGTCGCCGTTGTCGACAACTTCCGGCCAAAATTTCGGCGACTTTGCCGGAAATTTATTTTTTTCCGGCGGCTGGTGACCGTCTCCGGCGTGATGACGTCATCATCACTTTTGATGACATCATCATTAGCAAAATGGTTCATTTCGGTTCAATTCGGTTTAGATCCGTAACCCGAACCGAACCAAAACCATTTGTGATCCAAAAAAAATTGACCCGTTTCCGAACCGAACCAAAATAACGGTTCGGTTCGGGTCGGTTTTCTCCAAAAGAACAGCCCTACATGGAATCATCATAGTAAAGGAACTCACGTGTATATGGAAATTGAAAGGGCTCAATTTCACAATTTACAGAACATTCATGCTTTGTGAGTTTATTTTAACCAAAACCGAATACTTCACTAGCATCATGTATAGCCAAAAGCAAACGATCTTGAAGCGCTGTTTGCAAGAAGAATACTCAGTAAGGTCCAACTGATTGAAGCTGGAAAAAATAGAAGAGAAAAAGGAGAGAGATATCACACACAGACACCAAAAAACTTTACCCAACTTTTTCAAACTCTATCATCAACAAGCAGCAACTACTAAGAAGGATGTTTAAAAGCAGGTGTTGCTGGCAACTTAAACATATCGTTGAGCTTCACACTTTCCTATGAGTCAATATCAAAATCCAATTATTGTCCAACATATCTAGCTACTTTTTTACATTACGCAATGTTCACAAAAACAGATTTCTCATGACTGTCATTTAAGTGGCCATACTTACACATTCAGTTAAGAACATTTACATTCTTCATGTCATCTAAAGATAAAACAGATGAAAAGTATGTAATGCACATTACCTTTGAGGTACCAGTTACAAACTGCAACAATCTTGCCATGTCTTCCTTATTGAAACCTTTCACAACATCCCAAAACCACTGAACAATAGCAGATCATTGTTCGCCTTCAAATCATCCACGGAAGGACAATAAACCTCATCAGAACTCTTTTCCAACTTAAACAAATAAGTGAAAAAAAGTTAAAATGGGAAGCATTTGTAAGGAAGCAGACTTACGATCGATTTCGGGAAGAACATTTATTAGCAACTCGAGCTTTTATCATTGAAAATAGAAATAAGCTCCCTTGGTACACAAAATGTATTCTAAGTAATCATTTGACACAGAATCCCAAGTACCTAATCAAACAAGGTCGCAATCTTCTTAGAAGTCCAAACAATGTAAAGACGTAATTGCTTCAAGACACATTGCACTTATAAAATATTTACACCGGCCTACCTCAACCTTTTGGAAGAAATTTCTTCTTCATCCATCTGCAATTATAAAATAAAATAAAAAAAGTAAAAAATAAATTACAATGGCGAGAGAGATCACAAGCAAGGGAGAACAGAACACATACATGACTTCTTCTCGTTGCAAAAGACATACAACTAGTGGAAATATGAGTCTGTAGGCCATTACTGTGAATTGTATATGCCAAAAATAACATAGAACTATACAAAACTAACAAAATACACCATGATATGTACTGACCTTTCCAGATCGTTGGTCAGGAACTCTAAAGCTGATAATGGTCTTCAAACCAGTTTTGGAGCTGCCTCTTAAAATTCCCTAGCTTTGTTAATGGTACACTTCAGATAATATTTTGGATTTCAGCAAATAAAAAAAAAAAAAAGCAAAGGGAAAAAGAGAATATGACAATTATGGCAGCATAACAAAGATGGAACAACAGTCATCCAAACTAAAGTGACATGCAAAAGAAATGTAAAGAAAATTTATGGCAGCATAATAGCACTGGCATGTTCTGCAGCATTCCCCACAATTGGAAGTAAGATTACGCTAATAAATGCCATAGAGAGAGAGAGAGAGAGAGAGAGAGAGAGAGAGAGTTACAATTACAACTCAAATATTACACAAAATAGCATAAATTTCTGTCCATCAGTTATCACGATGCACACAGCAACACAAGATTGATATAGTGGAAACCAATAACATCAACTGTCACCAATGATATCAGGATTTTTCTCCCTTCTGAAACTATGTTCTGTTGGCTTAATGATGATAAATATGAATATCCAAAGTGTTCTCTTGACATTAATAGGTGGCGGTAGCTAATATGACATAAGCAACAGAGTTCTAAACAGCCTTTGAAAGGAAAATGTTCATGAATCATGCAAAGAGGTAATTGAGCATAGAAATCAAGTGATTCTTCAAGGGGATCTGTATACAAGGTTCATCTTGATTACTATATTGAAAATAGCTGTATCTAACACCTGCTTCTAAATCTATAAATCAATTACTAAATTTACAAAACATCTAGCCCTGCTACCATGGTTACTTCGTACATTTATGTATTGCCAACTTTACAAAAGACAGAACGAGCTACCTCTTTTATAATCTTCCAAGTTTGATTAATAGAAACTACT